CGCTTTTGCTACAGCCGTCTCGACAGCCTTCTGTGTCTCCACAATCTCCGCAGCCTCGGACGTCGACTACTTCTCCACAATCTCAGACGTGATCTACGTCTTCACAGTCTAAGGTCAAGGCCATAGCAGCATGGCCAACGCCCCGATTTCAGAAGGAACGTTGAAAGTGGAAAAGCTTGGCCAACTACCTTCACAAGTACAGCGCTGGGTACGCGAGCTTCGCTAAGCCCTTGTCGAGCCTCCTTCAGAAGGACGTCGACTGGCGCTGGGAACAAGAGCACCAGAATGCCTTTGACAGCACCAAGGCCAGTCTCCAAGAGGCCCCTGTCCTGGCCCTGCCGGGCGAGACGAAGTCGTTTAGCGTCGTCTGCGATGCCTTCGATTACGCCATCGGATGTGCATTGCTGCAGGCCGACACGGCTGGACACAAACGAGTCATCTCGTTCCAGTCCAGGCAACTCAAAGCCGCCGAGCGGAACTACCCTGTCCACGACAAGGAGCTCCTGGCAATGAAATATGCCCTTGTGAAGTTCCGTGCTCATCTCTTCTGGGCTCCCAGCCCTTCGTTATCTACACAGACCACGCATCCTCGAGGACGGCGACCAATTCGCCCCATCTCTCCCAAAGGATGGTGAGTTGGCTGTCCTTCTTCGCGGAGTACAACTTCTGCGTCGAGTACAAGCCGGGCAAGCTCAACGTGCTTGCGAACGGCCTCTCTCGGCGTCCTGACTACGAGTTGGCCCACATCACACGGGTGACAACGGATCTATATGATCGGATACGCATGGCGTATCGGGACGATGAGACTGTCGCGCCTATCGTCTAGTTCCTCACGGCAGGAACGAGCGCGAAGTCCGACTGGCTTTCGTCGCGACAGCGCTCCCGGCTCCACCGATATGTGTTGAAGGATGGCCTCCTCTATTACCAGATGGAGCCCAACGAACCTCCTTGGGTGGTCGTACCCAACGTCGAGGATCTGAAGTTCGATATCCTCGCGGAGGCGCACGTCGCGCCCTCCAGCGGCCACTTCGGCCGCGAGAAGACCTTCCTGTCGGTCTCTCAGGCCTTCTGGTGAACCCACATGTACAAGTGGGTCGCGCGGTACGTTAAGACATGCGAAACATGTCAGCGGGTCAAAGCCGCAGGTCACGCTTCGGCTCCACTACAGAGCCTGCCCGTACCGGCTGACTGTTGGAAGTCGATGGGTCTTGACTTCATCTTTGGGCTTCCCGCCGACGGACACGGCAACACCGGAATTTTGGTGTTCGTGTGTCGGCTGAGCAAGATGGTACATCTTGCTCCGGTTCCCGTCACTGTTACGGGCGAACAAACCGCAAGGTTGTTCGTTGATGGCGTGTTCCGCTATCACGGTCTCCCGGAGACGATTGTCTCGGACCGAGACCCGCGGTTCACGGCTGCGTTTTGGAAAACGCTGTTCCCTTTACTGGGAACTCGTCTGCAGATGTCCACTGCGGACCATCCGCAGACAGACGGCCAGACAGAGCGCGTCAATCGAGTGCTCGAGGACACGCTGCGCAGTGTGTGCGCGGCAGCATCACGTACGTGGTCGACGCAGCTTCCAGTTGTTGAGTTTGCGCTCAACAACGCGGAGCACGCGTCCACGGGCTTCCGTCGCCCCAGAGTGCCTCTCACTCTTCGAGGAGACACTGACTTCTCTATTGTAAGTGGGGAGCGGCTCGGAAAGCCCTTTCCTCTCAGGTCTCAGATGTGAGACCGGTTTCAGTGCGGAAACAAGTGGAATACTTTGTGGATACCAAGCGGAGCGTTGTCAGCAGGGTCCGCGATGCCATGGCAGCGGCCCAGGATAGACAAAAGGAGTACTCAGACAAACATGGAAGAGGAAACTTAAGTGTATTTAAAGTGGGGGATTTAATGTTACTAGACACGAGGAGCCTACCTCTTGACACTGTCATCTCTGTCGGCAGCAACAAGCTGAAGCACCGCTTCATCGGACCATTTGCAGTCCTAGCCAGACATGGTGCGTCGTGCACCATCGACCTGCCTAAGTCAATGACGACGCACCCGACGCTCTATGTTGGACGTCTTAAGCGGTACTTTGATCCGCAGGGGGTTGCTGACTCGCAGACCCACCTTGGCCCAGCTCCTCGAATCGAGGGCCGACCACAGACGTCGACGAGGGCGTCGGATCAGGCGCCCAAGCCTCGGTCTGGACGGCAAAGCTGCAGTCAAGACCGTACGCAAGAGGGGCTCGGTACGAATGGGCCCCGGAGCCATACGCCGGGTACGCTGAATACGCCGGGTACGCACCATACGCATACGTCTGGGAGTGCGTCGAAGGCGGCTCCGGACGTGGCATCAGAGCCTTGATCCGTCGGATCATGCGAAAGGCCTCGTCCAGATCGGACGAAGAGGCCCGGCGATCCACCCGCAGATGCAGGCTCGTGACCTCACGCTCCAACAGATCCAAGCGGCCCGCAAGACGAGCGAGCTCGCCCTGATTCCCGGCCTGGGTGGCAGCATCTCCGTTAGTCCCAAGGCCAAGTGCAATCTCAAGCACGAGGACTCGTTGACGGAGGCGGTCAACCTCAGGGCCCTATGTCGGACCCGCAGGAGAAGCACTCGGACGAGAGTGGCGTTCGGGAGGCGCCGAGTACTCGTACTCGTACGAGGGCACCTCCGCCCCTGCTTGACCGGAATGGAGAAGTCCACTTCCACGTGGAGCGGATCCTCCAGGAGCAACGGCGTCGCGGTAAGCGACAGCTCCTCATGAAGTGGAGGGGTTATGCCCACTCCGAGAACTCGTGGGAGCCGATTGAACGGCTCCTGATTGACTGCCCGAAGGCTGTTGCAATCTAGGAACAGAAGCGGCGGCAGCTTCATAAGTAGCCCGGGGCTTCTTGCCCGAACGGGGTACGGACGATGAATACATTCCGTACCCGCGTTTATCGTGAGCGCTAGAAGCCGCGCGCTTCAGGATGTCCCTTGGCAGCATGCGCTTGCTGATCAAGTGGGCAAACCTCACACGAAGATCACACGGGTCCAGGATGCGGGACAGCAGCTGATCTTCATGGAGTTCCCGTAACTCCGTGGGTGAGTACTTGAGAGACTCTACCCACGCCCAGAACATGTCCTCACAAGAACTCCAGGTGGGACAGCTCTCGAGCATAGCCCAGGGGTATCCCTAAATAGGATAGAGACCACCCCGGTTCTCGGGCTTCTTGCGACAAGTCGTAAAGTCCTTAAGAGGGATGCGGGGTGGCGCGAGAAGCACACACCGAGCCGCCTCCAAGTTGTCAAAAAAAAATGTTCCTTCTGAACAAGGGTACGCTCGTAAACGCCCCTAGAGGTGTGGCCGCCCACAAGGCCACGAGGAGCGACGAGAAGCTCCAGGAAGAGGTCAGCCCCAGAGCTCTCCTCGGGAGGCCAATACCCTCTTGAGTTGATGGCAGCTCCCTGGCTGACGGGTGCCACCACCGAACCCCCACGCACACGCTGGGCAGCTTGAAAGTCCTCCTGCTGCTGGTCGAGGTCGTTCGTGATCTCCCGGGGCTCAGGAATAGCACCCTTTTCGTCTTCCTTCTCGTCTTCTTCATCGGAGGAATCGAAGAGGCCCCGATGGGAGTACCGAGTCTATATCTCCTCGCGGAGTGGAGACTTAGAAGCCGTACGCTTCTTAGAGCTTGGCGACTTCGGCTTTAGCGGCCTTAGCACGCGCAAGACCCTCGGCAATCGAGAGACGTTTGCGAGGTTTCTCTTCCTCATCGCCACCAGCTTTGGGGATGCCCTTAGCCTTGACGGCCGGACTCTCAGAGCGCACAGACGTCCTGGGACTGTGATCACCTTGATCACTAGCGAGCGACTGCACGCTGTCGTCCTTGTGCTCGATGGACACTGGGCTGTGCCCTCCCGCAGAGCCCGCAGGAGCATCGTGCGTGCTCTCGGACTCGGCTTCGTCCTCACTGCCAGAGTCGAACTCACGTTCAGCGAACCGAGGGTTCGGACGATTGTCTGGAGAGGCCGAGGGCGACGGGCTGCGGCGCTTGCCTGTCTGCTTGCCCACAGCCGCGTCACCCGATGGGTCGATCGCCTCGGAGGCCACCTGAGTAGCCTCCTGAAGTGCGGAGCCTTTGCGGTGAGGCCTAGTGCTCTTGGCTTGCGCCTTTCCGGCAGCAGCCTTGGAGCGTGTCTTCGCACCGCTCTTTGCAGCGCCACGAGCCATGGTAAACGGTCGAAGTGGAGACCAAGAAGAAGAGCGCACAGACTGCTGCTCGAGGCTCTAACTGTGAAGTGAGCCTCCGCCGCGCTCGCGCGGCCAAGTCGATGTTTTTCGACTTTGAAAATGAAAGTTTGTGACGAACACTTCTTCATTCTGATTGGTTGGTAAACCGAACCTAAGTGGGGGAGGATGTAACGGGGTACGTATCCCTAAGTGTACCCCTAGTTACATGAAGTGTGACACGTCATACTTTGGGATATTTGGTACAAGGTACCAAGGTCGTCCAAAGCCAGTCATTGGCTGATGACATTGCTTTTCTATAGAATTCTTATAGTTTGTAAAAAAACCAAGCTTTATCTTCCTAGAAATATACATTCTACCTTGACATGTAAATAGGTCACTTCGCTCCCTTTTCGATAAAAGGGGGCCTGTGAACTGCCGTTCACTGAGAGTTTGTAAACTCTCGGAAGCTAACTTCCTTTAGCGCAAGGTGCTGTGTGACCCCGTCACATCAATGCTCAGGAAGCAGAGCAACTAACACCAAGTAATTCAGTCTTCATATTTTCCCTTTGCATCAAGGAGCTTGTTTGTTACTTCGCGGAGCGTGTCTGAGCTAAGCTTACAATATACCCATTGACCAAAAGTACAACTTAAAAGGCCCAACTCGGCAACCTTGACAGACACAGTCCAACCACGTTTGTGTACAGTTCCTGCCAATTTTTAAAGCATTACCTGTTTTTCTTAACCCTACACGTTGCAAGACGCGCGCTCATTTTGGGGGAGAATTAAATCGAAGATCGCCATGATATCGCCAGAGGCTGAAGTAGAGTTCGCCGTGCGCTTGATAGGTGACGCAAGGGAGCACATGGTATGCCTGTTGGGCAGCGCAGCGGAGATTGGTGCTTGGGTCGCCGAGAAGGCTGGTGTGTTGCGTCTTTATACTATGTTGCAGCGAATAGTAGGACTGACTGGTGTGTAGTTCCCATGGAGCTGGTCGAGCGCCAAGACAACGAGAGTAAGTGGCGCGCGACGATCGAATTCTCGCCAGCCACCAATACGCTCGAGTATAAATACGTGGTGAAGGACGAGCGGACACGCGAACTAGTTTCGTGGGAGGGACTCCCAGGCAACCGGACGCTTACGATTGCCCCCGGCACCAACGTCGCGCTGTAAGCTGCTTATGCCGCGAGAACGCAGGTAGACGAATAATTAGCTTACGTGTCCTCGTGTCCTTTTGGTATTACAATACAGAGGGGCTTCTTCAAGTCAGAGCTCGACCTACACGACGCCACGAGTGCCGACGCCGGGACCACGCGACGCCAAGCTGGGCAATAATGGCAATACTAACGGCTTTGAGGAGTGGCGCTGTTGCCGCACTAATAAGGAAAGCAACCCGTGGTGGGAAGTAGATTTGGGACAAGAGTACGCCATCTCCAGCATCCATTTGTGGAATGCGATGACGTATCACGAGCAGGCGAGACGCCCAGAGGGCCGTCCACCACTTACGTCAAAGGCGTCGACATCGTCTCCAGAACCTCCACTGTGGGTGTTTATATCAAAGGAACAACTAGGCTGTGAAAATGCTTCCTATAACGAAGCACAGGACAAGGCGACAGCAGATTCTTCCTCTGTCCGTGCTATTCAGGTGCCAAGTTTGTATGACAGTCGTGTACGATCGCTGAACTTTGCTGTTAACGCTTCCTCTCTTTCGGGAGCACCAGCGTTCTCTTCTGTTAAGGGGCGCTACGTAAGACTGCAGTGTGCTGGCGCCTTGTGTGCCCTGCAATTTGCGGAGCTCGAAGTCTTCACACAAGATGCTGCGGTTCCAGTAGTGAATAGTAAAGAGACCCAACAGACGAGCACACTATGCCACACACAGGACGATGGATTTTTCGGTGTTGCAAAGGCGCTGGACTCGGACATGCGTGAGTATGTGGAGACTGGGTGGTTAAATCCCGCTGCTAATGAAGCGGAGCTTCAGGTATGGATTGGTAGCTTCGATTCGACCACGCCAGCCATTCAGTGGTTGAGTGGAGAACAGAAGCACAGTCGCGTGGCAATTGAAATGCGCCATGAAAAACAGAAGAAGGGAACCAACGAGGCAAAACTGCAGGACGGCAACAGTCAGGTTAAAGAAATGCAGCCAGTAAGCACGTGGGAGCCACTTCCGGTAGAGTCCAAGAGTGCAGCCCTGCTCGACAAGGAGTCGACGGAGATGAATCAGCTTTTGGAAACACATCAGCAACTGGCTGGGGCTGACATTTCTGCATACTTGAACAACGCGACGTCTTCAACGGCAGCTCCATCAAACCTGTCTTGGGTTTTGAGATTGGCGTTTGCTCAGTCGCTCGAGGCATCCAACGTGGAAATTTTGGGGAATGCGATTGCCACGCGGAAGTACAAGAACGGTGATAGCATTATACAGTACGCAGAGCAGAAACGCTCTGTGTTCTACATTGAATCGGGCAGGGTCGAGCTACTCGGTCCAGCGTCATCAACGGGCACAAATGTAGTCGGATCACTCGACGAAGATTCTTTCTTCAACGAGATGGGACTCTTTAGTTGTTGGTCTAGACAGCCAGCATTGTTCAAGGCTAAGGGCGACGTGACCTGTCAAGTGATCGAGCTAGAAGCTCTGCTCAAAAGCTTTGGGAAAGACCAAGGTAGCTTCAATTCGCGACGATTATATCCGCAGCCGACGCAAGGCTGCGTCGTTGCGCAAAGACAGGAAGTTGCATTACACAGACGACACGCATGCCCAAGTGTTCCGCGTCAAAATACCTGTGGCCACCGTGGACGGGAGCGGAAATTACACTGACGGACTCAGTCACCGCTGGACGTTTGATGTCTACGACTGCCAGAAGGATGCGAAGTCTGGGGCCTTCGCTAGAAACGAGCTATTGGGCTCTGCTTATCTTCTTCCGTCGCAAATCGGCAAGCAGGGAGAAGCGGACCTGGCGGTTCCGATCCTTTCTTCGAACAAGGGTATCGTTGGTCAGCTCTCCCTGTCATGCCTGGCTTTGACTCCTTTCGTCCACCCCAAGAATAACATTGCCAATGTGTGGCGCTCCTACTGGCGTGAACGACCTCCACTTACAATCGGGCATCGGGGCATGGGGCGGTCATACTACCAGGTTGAGGGACACCGTCTTGCGCTGACACGAGAAAATACTCTGGCCTCGCTCATTATGGCTGGACGGAGCGGTGCTGAATTCGTGGAGTTTGACGTGCAACTGACTAAAGACCGGGTGCCCGTGATCTATCACGACTTTATGGTGAACGTTGGTTTGGAAGACAAGAGCGCAGAATCGCATGGTACCAGACACGAGAAGTACGAGATCGGTATCCATGACATGACCTTCCGCCAGCTAACGCAATCCTATACGACTCCCGTGCCACACGAGGGAACTAAGACTCAACTTTTGCAGAACCGAGTGAAGAAGCACTGGGCACGTCTGCAAGGGGACAAGCAGGTCCCCTCCCCACGACGGGGACGCCTCGCCAGCGATGACAACACTAACGAAGAGCATCATCTGGTGGATTTCTTTCCTCGGCTTGAAGATTTACTCAAGCACGTACCCGCGGAGGTGGGTCTAAATATTGAGGTCAAGTTCCCAGACGACTTCTTTCGACCGGGGATGCGGAGTCTGAGCTGCTTCGCTATCAATGCGTATGTAGACAGACTCCTTCAGTGCGTATTCGACTTCGCTGGCTCGCGTCGCATTTTCTTCTCATGCTTCGACCCGAATGTCTGCATCGTACTCCGTGCGAAACAGGCCAAGTACCCCGTGTTGTTTCTGACCTATGGCTCTATGGCACCACACGCTTTTGATGCGCGAATGACGCTTCAATTCGCCACCAATTTTGCAAAAATGGAGAAGCTGCAGGGCATTGTATCCAACTCTAACTCGTTCCTCGAGACGCCGGAGCTAGCCTCGCTCGTGAAAAGGTACCTGGGCACTGTACTGATTACGTGGGGTGACCAAAACACGAAGCACGAGATGGTTCAACTACAGAAGCGTCATGCGATCGACGGCGTTATCAGCGATAACGTCATCGATCTCATCAATCAGGATAAAAGGCTGCTTGCGCAGACCAAGGGTGATATTTTAGAGCGGCCGTGAATTGCATACATGTGAAGGTATGGGGCAACGCCATTGTTTGCATTGCAGGAATCATCAGATCCAACTCATAGAAGCATGGATTGTAAGCCATTTTTGCCGATTATCGATATTCTACTGCGTTGTAAATCAGAAAGTAGTAGTACTACAGTATACGGGAAGCAAGAAACATATCGTCGATTAATTCGAGCATAGTCCGTTTGTACTTGCCATGTAGCAGCAGTGCGTCGGCAGCTTTTATTATCTTGAGCTAAGACAAAGTTGCGATGTCAGGTGTGAAGCTCAAGGGTTTCGCCATTGGTAACCCACTGATGGACATGGTGGGAACTCGCAATTATTGTTCGGGTCGCGGGACAATCCTATACCCAATGACGGGCACCATAGCGCCTCTTCAGTGCATCCGTGGCCGTGTCCATTTCCTTCCTCATCCAGCGAACCGGAGGTGCTCTCATCGCCTGCACTCCAGTCGTCCGCTGATCCGGAGGACGAGGAGCTGTCTGAGCCCCTGACGCTGCAGGATGTCGTCGTCGCCGCCGAAAACGTTAATGCCACGGTCGCCAGCATCATCCATCGTAGCTTGAAGCGTCCAGTGAACATTCCCACGATTAAATGTTGCGTTGTTGGATACTTGACTCGGCTTGAGGTTTCCAGAAATGAACTCACGCCCCCTGAAGCTCAAAATAGGCCTTTGCATTAGGGGTGGTATTAGGTAATTTTGCCCATTTTTTTATGGACGACCTTAGCGTCCAGGTTTCCCAGATTGAAAAAATACTCAGAAATCTGATTCTCCATGGATAGTCCAGCTAGGGAGCCAGGTTTCGCCCAGGTTTCCTTTTAGAGAACGGAATCAGACTTGGTAATTAACATTCGGGAACTTAAATGACCAAATCAGGTATTTTCCAGGTATAAAACCTGGGATACTCATGTGTGCACGACTTAGGCTAAAGTGGAAATGATCGTAGGCAGTCGACGTCGGAACTCACCGCAACCAATCGTTTTCTTCACCGTTTACCCAGGTATTTTACAGGTTTTAAAACCTGGGCAAATCATGTGTGCGCTACTTAGAAAAATTCTAGAGTGATGGCCGCTGCGGTGTGTCGGCGTTCACGCTCATGGTGGCGTACCACGAATGTACCATTATCGACTTCTGCCACACACAGTCATTGTCCAGGTTTTGCCCAAGAATTGACCATGTATTAAAATCGTTAGTGTTTACATGCATGTTGCACTGACGGATATGCACGAATAACTAGCGCGGCCTCAACTTCATGACTGCGTGCAGCATCTCCCACCTCAGCTTCGTAATACCAGCTGAGGACACATCGCTGGGGGATTCGCTGCTCACGCAAGTCCAGAAAAACCGGCACACAAACACACCGCAACTGTCACTGTCCGTTTGCACCGGCTCGGTTACTTCCAAAGCTTTGTAGGAATCGTCACGTAGAGGCCCAGTACGGATTTCTTCAGCCATCTTCTGCAACCGTTTCTTGTTTCTCTTACCGCCCATGCTGTCATACATCTTGACAACCTTGGTGTCTCGGTCAACCACGAGGCATCCCCAATGCGTGCCACCAAAATTGATAGGAAGAAGCACGAATTGGTGCGAGGCAACACTTTCACCAACTTTGTCGAGCGTGCTTGTAGAGATACGACTTTTGGTGGCCTTTGGTTGGGTTCCATTCTTGGCATCTTTGGCTTTTTTTGGGGGCGGAATGACGACTGTACAATTGTTCTTGTACCGTGCGAGACAAACCGCAAAAGCACGCATGGCATTATCGTTTAGCCAAGCGGAATCTCGAAAGCAAAAGAGATTGTTGTACGTCAGGTCGAATCCGAACCCAACCAGCGGTGTATACGGCCAACACTCCAGTATCTTTCCCATTATAATACCCGCTGAAGCGGAGTCACTGACCGCGGGTTTAACAGTGCTATTCAACCAGGTACAGCAAAGAACAGCATTGCGACAAGTATCTTGTAGCCCCCACAAGGATTTCATAGCTCTCTGGTGAACTGACCAGCTTTTTCAATTGACACCACGTAACTCTCAATGCTGCCCATTCGTTCACCGTCACTGTCCAACTCAATTTCTTCATCTAGCGCCAATCCGCCCCTCAACTTATCCAACGCATCATCAACAAGCGATTCGACTAGCCGGAATCGCACTCGATCTGGCACGTAATCTCCGTCGACGCGCCACTGAATTGACCTTCCCTCACCATTCTTGCTGACAGGAAAGGTAGTAAGGAAAGACCCAACTTCGCGAACTCCAGGCATGATCATCCATAGAGTAGACACCACATCGCAGACGTCGTTATCTCTTAAAAGAGCGCGTAGTTTCATCCCGTTATTGTACTCTTTTAGTGCTAACGCCGCCTTCACTTTCATCGCCGAACGATTCAAATGAGGTCGCCCGGCCCTTCTGACCTTACCATTCAGCTTGATTTTTGGTGGTTGGGCTGCGGTCGTAGACATCTCTGCTGCTTGAGTCGCAGGACCAGCCACCTGAGTGGGCGGTACGTCGTCGGAATCATCCTTGGTAGCCGCATTCGCATCGCTAGCCTCAGTATCTTGCTGTTGTTCAGAATCCACCCCTGCTCCACTTTCACCTGCTCCTCCATCCGAGTTGTCATCATCATGTCTGTTGTCACCGTCTCGATTGGGGGCAGAATGCTCTGCCGTGGGTTGTCCATTCCTCATGTTGTACCACCATTGATCCAACTGCGACATCGCACTAGCGAAGGCATCGTCTTCGAACCTCGCAAGCTCACCACTGATGCGACTAAGTGCCTGCTGAGCACGTCTGTATTTCTCCGCTTCACTCAACCTTCCACCAGCAGATTGTGAATGGGCTTTGTATATCTTAGCCACAAACGGTGCCGCCACCTCTGTCAACTCCTGTTGCGAGAGCCGGCTTTGACCAAACCACCTGCAAAACACATACCTGGTTAATACCTGATGAAAACATGGCCAATACCTGGACGCAAAGTCAACATACCTTGGCGCAATTGTCGAGAACGGGATAATGAATGGGTTGCCACAGCGCTTTCGGTACATCATGGCGTGTCTGCAGGGAAGCTTCATGGTCTGAGCAAACTCACAGTCGCACAAGTAACCCTCTTTCTCGATAAGATACTCACGTTTACCACCGCTGACAGTGACAGTAGTGCCATTGTCGGTAAACGTGTAGTTGTTAGCAACAGCATCATCCGTAGCAACATCGTATTGAGCATTGATCGCTGCCGCCACCCAACGTGTTGTCATTCCCAGCGCTACATTCATTTCTTCTGAGTAGGACACGTCCCGTAAGGTGCCAGGCATCTCGACCTTGGACCGATAGTCTTCCTCTTTGCGTCGCTGGAAGTCCAAAAGCACCTTCAAACTAGCTCTCATTGTAAAGTGGCCTTTGAGATGCCGTTTGAGCTTACCAAATAGGCTCTCCACGCGGTTGTTGGTGTGATTTCCGAAGTGAGGCAGATCAACGCGATACGCCATCACCCACATCTCGCAGCAGTCGTTCCAGTTTTTGTCAAAATACTCCCACAGATCGGTGCGATCATCTCGGCAAGCGAGGCTCTTAAACTCTTCACGGTGCATATGGTAGTCTTCCTCTGTTCTGGAGTAAGTCATGTTGGTGATGGCGTGTTTCATCTGCGCTAAAACATCCTCGTCGTAAGCACCGTATGACTTAGATTTTCTGATCGTCTCATGCAACCACTTGATCACGTGAAAGTGGCAATACAGCACCCGAGCTTCGGGAAGCTTCTTGCGAACCACCTCGACTTCGCGCATGTCCTTGTCGACGATCACAATACGGACGAACCGCCAGTGTTCGTTCGCACGCTTGAAATGATCCAAGCACTTGGCCATATGCCAGTCACCGTTCGTTTCGATTAACGAATACTGGACAGGCTGGCCTTGGCCAAACTGGTCCATACCAACCATCGTAAAAAGCTGGTAGCTGTACCTAACCATACACAAAGTCTGGTCAAAATCTGGTCATACCTGGGGAAAACCTGTCCAATTACTACCATGCAACTTACTGATTGGTTTTGTGCGTACAGTCCATTTGAATCACCTCGGGGAAGTTGTCCAACATCGCACGCATATGCCCACTAGTGAAGGAAAGCACACCGGTATCTCCACGTGCACTTTCGTGCACCGAAGAAACATTTGCCGATGACTCTCTGTTGAAGTCCATAATCATCTCAGCCACGGCATCGTTATCAGACAACTCCACACCTGCGAACGCATCAAGTTAGAGGGGAACAAGACGACAAGACATGTAATCAAACCAAACATTTACCTTGATTACGCAGCCGGCGAAGTAGATTGTGCACATCATCCATGGAGACTCGGTGCTTTGAGTTCTCTCGAATGTAGTTGTACACGCTTGTTGTCCCGGCTTCGGATACAACCAGCAGCTCAATACCTGGCATCAAAGGTGAGTCCGCCGGAACCTGGCGAATACCTGGATAAGACCTGTAAATGTCTTCGGAGACACGATGATTATGGGCGTACACTTCACGCTTCATCACAACGCCCCATTGACCGTCACTACGCTTGGTAGCTTGAACCAGCATCTGAAACGGACAATCGGTAGTACTCAGCTTGTGTGACGTCCGCTTTCCCGTTGATCTGTCACGTTCGGACCACCCATGCGTACAGATAAACTTGCGCTGATAAGGTTCCATCTCTGCAGGGACGAGAGGCAACTCTGAGTCAGGAAGCCCTTGGTACCTCACTTGGCGCCGAAGATCAGCATTCCTGCGGGCTACATTGATCACCTCTTTCACCACGATTTGTTGGCGCGTCGCCTCCATGTATTCCTTGAGAGACTGCTCCAGCGAGGCCCACGAATCATGATGCGTCTTAAATACAGGGACCTGAACCAGCTCTTCTTTTTCGACATCGGAGACGGTTCTTTTCTTTCCTTGACGACGCTTTCTCGTTGGTTCCGTCTCCACTTCATCTTCTTCCACTTCACCCTCTCCCCCTTCGCCCGAAGCGACCTTTTCCTCCTCTGCATCCTCTTCATCTTCCACCGAATCGTCCTCTTCATCGCCCGTAGTCTTCTTTGCTTCACTCGACGTGTCCACACCTCCCTGCCCTTCCTCGCCATCTCCTCCTTCATCTGCGACGTCTTCTGTTGCCTCCTCCACTCGCTCTTGAGCATTGCTGTCCTCTGCTACTTCAGTTGGACTAGGGCGAGATGTCTATATACTTTCTCTGGCGTGTGCTCTCTCTGAGCGCGTACGCGCCGCACGCAAGAGAGCGAGGTTAGCCTGACGAGCTTCCTCGGCCACACGCTCTTGCTCTGCCATCTTCGCCTTGATCTGGGCAGTCTTGTTCGTGCGTGCCATCCTCGGGGCGTGGGGGGGGGCTGCCACGTGTCTCCCTAACTGGTGGCTAGGAATCAAAAGAAGAAAATGAGAGTAATTTAAACCGTTAAAACTCTACCTGGACAATACCTGCCGACCAAGAGAGCTTGAAGTGTATTTTTATCGTATTCATCTGAACTATCTAAAATCCATCCATGGATCCGAACACGAGCACGAGCACACATCCAGCGGGCCTGTCGCCGCTGGAGCTGACGAAGCGCCGCGCGCTGTTGGACAAAATCTTGCTGCTCGAGTCACGCGGCTCGATTCTGCCGACCGACGCGCGTACACTCCGCAGTCAGCTGCACGATAGTCCAAGCGGTCAATGGAAGGCCGTGGACGTGCGATTGAAACAGCTAGCACGTAGCTGGAATCCGTACCAGGACGCGACGATGGGCTCGTCCAGTGCGAAGAAGTACAAAGACACGAAGAAACTAGACTTTTACCAGCTCCTAGAGCTGGAAAATGACTCAAAAGTCACCTCCGAAGACATCAAAAGACGGTTCCGTAAACTAGCGCTGCTGCTGCATCCAGACAAGAAGCTTACGAGTCGCAAACGTAAACGTGAAAGGAACATTGAGGAAGAGGAGGAGGTGGAGGTAGATGAGGAAAAGCTGCGTGTAGTGGATTCAACGCAGTTTGCGCGCCTCCGATTAGCGTATGAAACGCTCAGTGACCCCGAGAGACGCACAGTGTATGACGCAAAACTGCGGGAAGCTGCACACCCTCAGCAATCGCAGCAGCTTGGTGAAGTAGTCAGGGATCAAGTGAAGTTAGAGGCGCCAACTGACTTTGCGTCCTTGGAATGGATGGCACGCGTTAAGCACAAGATGGATGTGATGGCTCGGATTGCCAAGTGGGCCAAGTTACTCTCAGTCAACGCAACCGAACTGCGCTTCGAGACCGGGGAGCCTTGCACAGGTAAAGGCTGTGGAAAAATTGTGAGTATGGACCGAGATTTAGAATGTGCGGGATCTCCCCGCCGTCGTGTATACATTTGTTTGTTGCACAAATATATCCACGCTTGTGACGAAAGCTGCACAAGTACGTTTGGTGACGCAGAGCTGGATCGACGCGTGTGTCCCATGCGAGCGTACTGGCTCATTCAGAACTGGTTATTCGACCAGTTGCAATCCGCAGCCTTCCAAAAGTGGCAGATGCAGCAGCCTCGTAACCGAAATGTAATTGAGCAACAAGATGAATGCCCTGCATTCAAGAGAGTAAAACAGGAAGAAAAGGGAGAACCCGAGGAATCTACTTGTGCACCAGTGATATGTGGCTTTGAGCAGTCTGAAATTCATCTTGGCGATCAATACACCCGATTTCAGGTGGAGAGAATTGCAGAGTGTCAAAGTAAAATGTGCCAACGCAACTTCCAGTTCTTGGACGATGGTATTTATGCTTGTCGCCGTCACGGAACGCCACATATCTGCACTTTCGAGCAGTGCGATCGACAGGAGCTGCACATGGGTAGCTACACTTGCTTGGTAAGCGGAAACATTTATGGTCGTGAACGAGAACGAGCAGGGACGGATGTTCGTTCGCGTTGCGTTGTCTACTCAGATGTTCAAGGCGATGAGACCTCGGTGGAGATGGAAGCTCGAGGTAGGTGTAACTCCACCAAATAAGTTGGAGCCGCCACCAAAATAAATGGAGAATGCACACGAATGGTGGACAGCTAGCACTCACTAAATAAAAGTGGAGTGTCCACACATTTAGGAAGCAGTAACACTTAGCACAAAGCTAATAAACACTCCATGTCAGTTCTTTTGTTCGAATCGTTAGCATAGGTGAAGTGATTCGAGCACTAAGTTGTAGCGATCATGTTGTAGTTGCAGCAACAACAAGTCGCTGTCAACGACGCCTCACTTTCCCTTGTAGCGTGCCATGGCACTACATTTCGGCTGGAATCCGAGCAGAGACCACACTCTACGAGGTTGTGGCTGGGACGGTGGAGTCCACGTGCCCCTTTGCCATTAAGTTAGCTTTCCAGTGTCACTCTCCAACTTGAGCCCAAGAGCTCCAGCACCACACTCCGTCCAGAGCAGCGGCACCCCAGACCGACCACCAACGCAGCTCAAAGAAAAGCACAAGTACGTTCATTGATGTTATAAAATGAACGTTTCTAGCATGTTGATTCTGCGTTCATCTACCATGTTTGCTGGTGCAGTGCAATGAGCTCGACATGAAAAAGTGCGTGATTGGGTCGCGCTCGTAGTCAAAGTACTGGCACTTTGGGAGTCGTCGCCATCATCTCCGTCTGGATCGTACTTGCCAACTACTTCGTTGTCGAGGGTGCCAAGGCCATAAACGTGCACAGTATGCACGCATTGGCCATCCACGCCCACAGCCTGGATCCTGCAGCTCATTGGTCACGGCGTCTTCGATCGTCGCAAACCGGCACTCTTCGACAGCCTGGACCAGGCTCTGATCACCGCTCCGATGTTCGTGTAGTTCGAGATTTTGTTCCCACTCGGTTACCGTCCGGAACTCTACACGCGCGTGATGAAGCAGGTCTGGATCAAAGCAAGACCTTCCAGGCTACAAAGACGCTGTAGTTGAGGCCACAAGACAGTGACTTTTGTGGCCTCATCATAAAGAAAAATAAATTGTTTTCGATATATCTATGCGAATTTTGTTGTTAGGAGGCTACGACGATCTCTGCCATCTCTATGAGACTTTTGGCAATACCCTCCGCCCCACTGACGAGACAGTTGAGAAGTAAGAACTCCTCCATCGACACCTTCTCGTAGCAACGTTCTTCCAGCAGCCATTCCACGTACGCAGTCTTCATCTGCGCCGCGATGTCGCTACCGAAGAATTCCTCCACATTTAGAACGTCGTGCTCGCGACACATGGCAGGAGCCGATGACGCAGCCGCCGAGCCTCTCTTGTTCTTCTCAACGGACGAAGCTTGGGACGAGTTGCGTTAGCTCTCACGTGACGGCATCGCGGCTCGCGAATTGTTGACATTCGCTTCCTGCACACCCAAAGGTGGAAGTTTGGACTGAATCTTGTCGCCAGGGTTCACGTCAGCGACCTTCGACTCGTCGTTCTCGCTCGCATCTCCCGCATCGTCCTCGTTCGCATTGATAGCTGCCAGCCCATGCTCCGGTCTGGCTACCAGAGCCGAGGCCTTGGGTCTACATGGCGTGTACACCTCCACCTCGAGCTTGAGGCCGTTCTCCAGCGCCTCGACGAACTCTTCGAACGACACCAAGCCGCTGTTATCTTTGTTCACCACACGCATGAATTCCTCGACGTATTTGTGGATCTCGCCTTGCTTGACCGCGCCAGACTGGGCGAAGATGGTCTCCAGCATGTCTGCCACTTCGTCCGCGTCGATCTCGCCGCTACAGTCCTTGTCTGCCAAGCGGAAGGCCTATTTCATCTGCATGAAGATTGCGGTCTGGTCCGGCTCCGAGTACAGCTAATGCATCGCGAAAGAGCATCTCTCCAACGTCTTGAACGAATCGGTCACTACAGTCTGGAATTGGCTCTACCACTTTGCACCTGTGCTCGTTGCTGTCAAGTGAAGCTTCAGTGTCTCAAATGTCGACACTGTTAAGCTGAACTCGGTCGTGTTCGACGCGGAAATTGAACCACCGCACCAGCTTAAATAGTAGCGTGTTGTTGTTCAGTAGTCGACGTAAACACTCGAGAACTTTTTCACATTTCAGAGTCGAAAACGCAGGTCTCCACATGAGCGGTTCGGTTTAAGCCTCCGCCACTGAGGACGCTTGTTGCGCATGTTTAACGGGATCTTGGCCTGCTCCATCTAAAAGATCGTCGTTCTCACTCTCCATTTTGTATGTCTCCACGTAATTTTCATGAGCGACAGTGCGACGAGCGTGTATATCTATCTATTTCTGTATCTTCAACACTTCAATACTTTGGCACTGATTGTGCTATTGTGGTGGTCGTATATTTTAAGGTGGTGGTGGTGACCCGTTTTCTGTGTGTGTGGTCCCGTCCACATTTTGGGTGGATCTACACTTTTTTATAATAGCAGTACATATAATTTAAAGTGGTAATAACCCGGACTCCTCGTAAACGGCTCAAGCGCGACCAAGAGGGAGAACGGGAAACTTCACCAGTGCGCAAACGTTTGCATGACCGTTTAACGCCAAAACTTCAGCGATCAAAGACGGCGTCCTTCCACATTTTTCTGAAGTTGCCTCCTGCGGTTGCCATCTTACCGAAGGTGACGCTGGAGCTGGAAGAAGCCGCAGATAGCAGCTCAGACGATGAAGACCTTTTACTTAAGGCATCTACTGAAAAAGAGAACTTGCTTCAGCTGTTCGTGAACTCCCACCATACTGTCAACTACATCAAGTACTGGATGGAAGACCTCACAGAACAGCAATTATCTATTTGGGACCAGCAGATCTATTGGGGTGATACTCTCATCGGTGAAGAGACGAACGTGATGGTTCTATGTAGAGGAACATGGCATCTCGGCAGGTTGTGTGTTGGAACTGCGTCTCCATGATGATTGTCCGCTGCTGGTATCGACTTGGAATGGCATAAACGCTGCAGCTGGCGGATGTGGAGGAGCTCCAGTCGAATACAACACGGTACAGATTTCGAAGGAGGCAGCAGAAGACTTGGATGATCTCCAGGAGGAACGGGAAAATGTTGTGGCTGGTGAGGAACAAGCCTTTGAAGCGTCTCGTCTGAAGCGGAAGCGTGAAAAGTTAGAGCTGCGTGGTGCTATTGACCACACCGAGGTGCTACGATATGATAATGCAAATTCTGATTTTCGACTATTAGGCGTGAGCCAGAAGCGAGCTCTTTGCGATGGGGACGGAGGTAAATACAAGCGCCAACTCATTCCACCAAGCTCAAATTCGAGAAGGAAAAGCAGACAAGCAGAGAGCTTTGGTGTCCAGTACAAATTGGGTATTGGTTCAGGAAGAGCTAGAGCAGATTCCGAACGCGGTTGAGGCGATGAGATCGTTATCGAACAATGCTCGGCCGGTGAAAGGAGGCAAAACGGTGTCGTCAAAACCAAAGAAATAAGTCTGCTATTTGCACGTCTAATTAGTCATCGAGAAGAGAGGCGAAAACTCGTCTGCAGCTCTCGAAAAGAGACATGGTGATTGCGGTCGATGGTGCGTGGAAAGCAACACGGGCCCCTGCACCTTTGTACAGTGCGAACACGCCCTCCTGTCTACGCACCACAAAGAAAACAGTGCAAAGTTTTAGTGAGCTAGGAGGACGCTGGAAGTCAATCAACTGGACCAGTAGGGATAATAACAAAATCTACCTTATCACTTGCGTCAGACCGTCAATGATGCCGCGATATGCCGCTGGAGTTCCTTGCGACGCGTACGCACGTTGTACCTGTGCGGATTCGACAATTAAATCCCTGATTGAATAGAACAGATTATTGATATACCTGGAGGCGTAGCTTGATAAGGTCCAGCGGGTTGGTGAGGAACGACGCAGTAGCACCTGCAGCAGCTGCACTTGCAAGTGTGTATTGTGCTGGTAGCTCCTCCACGTCGAGTCGATTCTGCGCCAAGGCTTTGCCTTTTTCGTAAAACATGAAATAGAGAGCCGAAAATGGGCCGAAAGAAAGAAGAGTGGCAGCGTAGCCTTTGTACAGACCAGCAAGGCGTTCCATATGCGCGATCGTCTGCACAGCATCCAGAGTGTTGCGGTAGTAGATTTCCCGCGTAGCTCCCGACGCACTCAAAGCCTGTACCTGCACCTGCATGCGCTCCTTGATAACATCAACGGGTACCCAAAGTACACAACTGAGAGTCTCAGCTGCCATTCCAGCACCTAAATACAGCAGCGACGGACTACTGCGGACGATCTCGACGTCCATGAGCGCGTCCTTGCAGACCTCGTACGACGTCATGTAGAGGCAAGTCGCAGGCGCTGAGCCCAGAATGCTCACCCCAATGCCACGATACAGGCCTCGTAGGTGTTGCAAACTGCATATTGGAGATTAGTTGGAGTGCGATGCGAGTAGATAGAGTAAAAGTAAGTTCTGACCTGAAAGACCGTAGGTTGAGTTGCGACGTGATGGTTTGACCGGTGGACGTGCTAGCCTGCAATCGAGCCTTGACGGTGTCTAGCGGGTGGCAGAAGATTCGCCCGATCATACCAGCAGCAGCACTACCCTGTTTGCATGAAGTGAGAGGTTACCAACGACTTAGAAGCGGACAAATCGAGGGAAGACAAACCAAAATGGTGGGGAGCTGATTCTGAGACTTCAGAGAACATCACGAAGCGAAAAAAAGAGAGCATAATATGTTAGTGTGTGAGCTTCTTAAGCAGAGTTCGAATAGCGTCTATCACCTGCTGCGGGCGCGCACGCAACGACGAACTTCCATCGTCCTTCATTTTGCAGGTAAAGTGCGCAACTGATGTTGCCGAGAATATTCATATTTATGGTACGTGTATGTTCATTTTGTGTTCAGAGAACTGTCTAGAACAGTTTCCGTAAATCAGTAATATAACTTCTTACTAATAAGTACTGAGATTTTATAATTTAGATTAAATCTATGAGACAAAATGATACTGATGAACCTAAGTACGAATCGCGATTTAAGCACTCTCAACGAAAGCGGGGCGATCTTTTGAGCCCTTATAAGCTACAGAATGCTTAAAACGGAAGAAGTTGTGGTCATTTATGGGCCCTCGAAATGACGATACATTTAGGAGTGTTGTGAGCTCAATATTTTTCAATTTTAAAAATTCAAGTGTTATTTAAAAGCTCTTGCTAAAAGCAATTGAATAAGGGTAGTTTTACAGTTTTTCGATGGAAGTTTACAGTAAATGTCACTGTTTCGGTTAAGTGCGAAAATCAATTGGCCAACTTTAAGCTCGAATATCTCGATAACTCTAAATGGCTCATCAGTATCATTTTGTTTGACGCAGCCTCAATTTGTCTTTTTTAATTAAAACTTCGAAGTAAATTACAACCATAAAAACTAAGCTGTGTGGTAGTTACTCATCTCATTCGGCAAAACGGCTCTTACCTCAAAGCTAGTCGGTTTTCCACTTCGAAGCCTCCATCGAGTACCCCATCGCCTCCAGCCCAGAATACATTTACAAATTGCCTCTAAAGTTAATCAAACGAAAACAGAGTACAACTAACGTTATTACAAAAACTAGCCGCTACGCAGGGTTAGTTTTGGTTTAATTGTGCTTAATTAGGTCTTCCGGCGTCTGCTTCGCTTCGGCGGGATAATTATTCAAAAAAAAATCTGAATACCTAAAGCGACTTTAATTTGATAATAATTTCACAAAATGAGTTTAAGCAGTCTCAGCAAAAATGCGGGTCAGTAAGCCGTGCAATTATTTCTACAAAAACCTGAGCCCCCAGCACCATGTTCACCTTGCTTAAGAATGATGTTTCTAATTATATTGAAACAATCTCTCTATTTTTATAATTGACTATCACTGTATGTATCTTTGATGGACATAGCCCTTAAAGTTTAGCAAGGTTCTTTCAAGATGCTACTCATGGTCGCAAGGCCACACGATCGCAACCCCCGTAGTTTCAGTTTTCATGATTTAAGTCTTTGCACTAGGCTCGGTAGAGTCTCGTGCTTTTCACTCTTTGCCGACTCGAGGCATTCTAACTCAATTCAGTCTTCGTTTTGCCTACATTCACGCGAGTGATCAAGACTCATTCGTCTTCCAGAAGAGCCCATAACAATTTCGAATTTATACTCGAGTCGAATTCAAGTTTCTAGTTCAATGTTTCAGTTTCCAGTCCCAACTTTCAGCTGCGCTCGCAAGTCCGGATATACTGTATCGCTTTTTTTTAAGTCCGATGTCAGCCAACATGGCTGACATGCACGACGCAAACACGTCTGGAGACCGGACTCACACAATAAGCGGTGACGCTGCAGAAACTTCGGGCCCGTCCTCGGTCCCGGCTGCCGCCATTACCGGAAACGCGGCACAAACTCCACCACCGGAAACGCGGCACAAACTCCACCACCGGTTGCTGGCCGACGTGAGTGCAGCAGCAAGCCATACAGGCACAGCAGCAACAGTCCATGTAGGCCCAGCAGAAAATCAAGCATTTATGCAGTAACAAGCGTTAACCCAGCCCGAGATGTATGAGAGCCAGGCACGTGCAAACACGCAGAAGCAGAAGGCAGACCCCCCAAAATTTAACGGCAAGTCGTCCGAGGACTTGAGCTGTGGCTGCTTCACATCATGGAGCTGTGGTGTAGGGATTTCCAGATTCGACCATACGCCATCCTACTTTAGATCAAGAATCGGCTCGGTCTGATAACCCAGAGCTTAGGAACGAAGAATCACGGTAAGTACTCGGCGATCTGTCCGGATGACGATATCCGGATAGCCGCTGAGCTCAACGGTCGCCAGAACCCAGCGGAAGGGTCGGTAGAGATCCGAAACGACTACATTTCACTAGATATTTGTATGAGAAGCATATATTAAATAGGGGGAGTCGAAAGGGCTCCCAGAAGATAACAGAGCAGAATTTTCCTAGTCTAAGACACGTGTACACTTTTCCGGTAAGTCCCTGCATAGGGCTGGATTAGGCCTACCGTCAATACTCGAGAGGCATAGCTTGTAGGGTATTGACTGGTAGCGCCAAGATATTAGGTCGGTCCGGGTAGGACAAAGTCTCGCTACGCGCGAAAGAAAGCCCCGCAAACTCAGCGGGCCGGTACGTCGGATAGCCCGGGCGCCGTAACACTTCTAGCCGAGCAGCCTCTGCGCTCGGTGACCTGTAAAAGCGCTCGCGCGCCGTCGTCCATCCTTTGGTGGAGGGCACAGGGTTGTGAACGAGCTCAGCCGAACCAAACTCGGCGGAGCCTCGGAAGTGATCTGACTTGGTTAGTCGGAACCGAGTGGAAGCGAGCCACTCGTCTGTCCCGGAAGGGCCGGACCGCGAGGGGACCACCCTCTGCGCAGGCCATACAACCGCCGACCTAACTCGGCGAATTGTTGTGGTTTGTGTAAGGAATCCACATCTGACGGTATTTGTGTGTTCTACTACACCACAACTGGTGCCGCGACCCGGGAACAGGAGTGTGTGCTTGTTTTTATAGATGCCAGCTAGCCAAGTTAAGAGGAAGAGAAGAGAAAGAGAAGAGTGAAGATGGTCAAGGGATCAGCAATGCCGAGCGACGGAAGCCCAGCGATGGCTGGAGGATCGCCTCTCGCGGGGTCGGACCCTGCGGATCAACGACTCATCGCCATGACGATGGAGGTGGGACGAACTGTCCAGTTCGACGAGGATGGCCAAGACCAGGAGAGCGAGAACGGAGATGCAAGTGAAGGAGAGTATGAAGAGAAGGCCGAGACCGCTGAGCTTGGAGAAACGAAGACTACCGCCGAGCTACTTGGCGAGGTGGAAGAGATGACGCTGCAGGTGGGACGCATGGGAGCCCCACGTCCTGTCGAGCGCAACTTATCCGCCGAGCTCGACGAAGGTGCGGACAATGAAGAAGATGAAGAAGAGCATGGCGTTGCTCAAGGGGACCGTCCGCCCCTTATTCCGAAAGCGACGAGGAACGCCGATACGCCGAGCGCCAATAAAGTGTTGTCTCGACTCGGCGAGAAGATGAGATCGAGATTGGAATGGATGATGATGTTCGCGCCTGTAGCGATGGCGCAGGCAAAGTGGTTGATGTTGGGTCCCGAGTTAACTCAACCGGTGCGTGCAGCCAACATCAATCAGTTGGTGGAAGAAACTGTGTTGCTGCTGAAGGCGATGGACTATCGGTGCAACGGCCGACCAAACAGCCTCATCCTGTCCGACTGGAGTCTGACCCGCGGTGGGGCTGAGCTCTGGCAATGGAAGAAGAAGTTGATAGTGGCGTTTGGATTGGAGAAGGCCCCTGGTGGAACGAAGAAAGTGTACAGCCGAGTAGCCGAGTTCAAAACACTCGGCGAAGACCCAAGCAAAATTCCTTTGCCGAAGACCCCGGAGACGAAGGGACGTGAAGTGTTCCGCGCTACGCAAGGCACTCCATACTTCGAGGACTTCCACATGCTGACCCCGATGAAGCTCAGCCCGACTTAGCGAGCGCCGAGTCGTGGACAGCGGAATGCAGGTCGTTACCGCGAATTGTATGACGCTGCAGACGAAGCTGAGGCTTACGAGAAGGACGATGACGCCTTCGATGCGAGAGGAAACCGTGAAAAAACCGTGAAGGAATATATCCGAAACTTGAGTTTCGACGCGGCTGAAGAAGACTCGACTCAGTACCTAGAAGTCCGAGCCCACGCCTCACTCGACCAAATCGCCGAGTTCGAATGGGAGCGCTACCGTTCTGACGCATCGCTCCAGTGGCTCAAGCGTTTCATCTACGAGATGAAGAGCACCAGGATGCCCCAAAGTGCCTGGTGCGAACCCTTCTCGCTATGCTTGGGACGCGCGGCGAAGAGTTGTATATGCAGCTGCCGAAGAAGACTCAGCGACGTTGGAAACTCTTCAGCGAGGCGTTCCTGGATTATCATTGCTCACAGTTTGACCTTAGTTTAATGGGATATCACCATCCACATTTTCGGAGTGATAGTCGTCATACACGTCTTGGTCATTGTCGTAAGCGTTCTGATCTTCATTTGAGTACTCAGTACCCCCTGGAACAGCTTTACGGTCCTCCAATTCAGCAACTAGATCATCCACCGAGGCTTCAATGAGCGTCACTCTTGGTTTGTTGCGATTGTCATCGCGGCAATGGTCATCACGTCGATTGTTGCGGGTGTACGCATCGTCGCGTCGCGCATCACGATTCTTGGAGTATCGATACTCACTATCACGCTTAGCCATTTGCTCCTTGCCCTTGAGAACATCTTCGATGATCTCTTCGAGCTCGTGAATGTCGGTGACTCGAGTGTGGTAGAGACTCTCCGCCAACTTGTCATCATCGCACGCTGCCGGGAACTGCTGTACGTGTTCTTTCGCGTCGCGATCACTCGTCTCGAAGTGTAGACGGGCGTTCCGAGCGTAGCCATTCAGCCTGTTTATGTAGTCGCACAGATGTTCGCTACGTTCCCGCTTTGCAGAGTAGTAACGGGACAGTTCCGTCTGCGTGAACTACGAGCCAAAATAGCGGATGAACGCATCGCTCAACAGCTTCTACTTGCGCTTCGTCTTCTTCAAAAGTTG